AAGGTGCTCGCTAGCCCCCGGCTTGCACGTGGAGGTGGAGTGCAGACGCTCCCCAAAGCCGGGAAGGTCGAAGGTACGGGGTGAGAGGCCGGAAGGGGCGTGAGTGCTGGGCACCTGAAGGCTGCCGCCTTCCTGGAAGCGCCTCTCGGGTTTGGGGAGCAAACCGGACTCGCCAGTGGAGGGAGAGTGGGAATGCGCCCTGGGCTTGGAGAGGATGAAAGAGCCGGGGGAGTGGGGTGAGAGGTGGTCCCCGAGCGGCTGCTGCCCTCCCGGTGTGGCGGGCAGGGCCAAAGGGAGCGGAGGAGGGGGAGCATGAACGAGCCGGATCTTGCACGGCGAAGAAGGAATGCCTTCACCGGCACACACGCCTCGAATTGGGGAGGTTGGAGGAGGTGCGCAAAGGCGAGAGGTGACGCCGGGCTGCAACCTTGTGGGAGGTGGCGGATGTTGGGACTCGGGCGGAAAGCGGCATCTTTGCAGCCAAACAGGTTGTAGACGCCCGAGCCTTTCTCTGCCCGCCGTCCCAATCCGAGGCCAGGCTGTGCTTTCTCTCCAAAGTCCCCCTGCCAGGCTTGATTCTTTTTTCTTTCTTCTTTTCGCATCTGAAAGGTTTTGCCTCCCACTCGAGAGAAATCAAAGGATGTGCCGGATTTCCAATAAATAGCACCTTTGGATGTAGAAGAGGAATGGCTCCCTCACCCTGCTACGCACACCCCCACGCCACCCCACAGCTCTGACACGGCTTTTCTTCGGCAGCCGCACACGGTTACCATTCCCGGCGTGTGTGGGAGAAGACTGTTGTGCGCCTGTGTCTGTCCGCCTGGGCAGCTCCAGCCCCTGGTTAATAAAAAAGGTACAGATGGTTAAGACACGAATGTGTGACGTCAGGCTCGGTTTTTAAAAGTCCCTTGTTCCCTACATCGTTTGTGTCTCTTGAGACAGACTATTCAGAGGATCGATTTGAGTCTAATGGCAGTCATGAGAACGAGGGACCCATGCCAGGACTGTCAGTATATTGCAATGCTGTACTTATAACAAAAAAGTTTATCTTTTAACAGTTTTTAACACATAAAAAATGAAACTATCAGAGTGCAAAATGATTCTATCGAAACAATTTCTTATCTAAAATTATGTACCCCATCATAAATTATGCGTTCTACTTAAAATGGAGGGATTCTCATAATTGGGAGGTAACAATCAGGATAAAGTTAAAAAAGAAGCAATGCTATCAACAACAAAAAATATATTTAGAAATATATAAATAAATAAATAAATATAATTGGAAAAGTGAAAGGATTTTTATGAATTTGTCTTTGAAATTATTTGTCTATGAGTAACTCATTTCATTTGCAGTTTGCTTTGATTCCCCTCCCTCCCCCTCCAAAGTCTGTGCATAATTGGGAATTCTTGAGAAGTGAGGAAATCAAGTCCACAGATTACTTTCAAATGAGTGAAATGCTGTATGAATGCTAAAGTTAACAATTTATGAAGTTGGAATATTACCTTTGTATGCATTTAAATAAAAATCATTTTAAAAAAGAAAAGTCGAAATATTCTAAGCATCACATTATTTTGAGTACATCTCTCTCTTCATCAATTGCAGCAGATGAAATAGGTATGTATACTAATTGTTACTCAGTCTCTATTTATCAGTCCACTGAGGGTAAAAGAGTTCATGTGAAAGCATTTGACATCTCCAAAACTAGAGTACTTTTACTAGAGTGCTTTGTGATTATAAGTTACCTTGTGAAAATTTCCCATGTGCTCTAACCAATTAAGTTCTCTTAGTCAAAGAGTGTAAGAATTTACCCATTTCATACATTAGCCTGTTAAGCACTGTGGATGTCTGGGCAGGAATTAATACATTCCTCTCTCCCTGGTCCCACCCCCAGTTATCTCTCCTCTGGGTTAAATAAAAGTTCTTGAATTTTGAAGCACAACAGGAACTTGATTAGAAACATGGCGAAGATTAACTTTTGGAAAAACACAAGAGCATTTTACTGGATTTTATGATTGAGTTAGTGAAACTTTTTAGAGTTCTTCTGAAACTTTCTAATGAACAATAATTATTGAAAATGATTTGGTCTGGCTGACATGGCTCAGTGGTTGAGCGTCAACCTATGAACCAGAAGGTCAAGGTTCGATTTGAGGTCAGGGCACATGCCTGGGTTTCGCGCTCCATCCCCAGTGTGGGGAATGCAGGAGGCAACCAATCAATGATTCTTATCATTGATGTTTCTGTCTCTCCCTCTCTGAAATCAATAAAAGTATATTTTTTAAAAATGACTTATAATGTACCATCTCTGACAACCTTGCCAGTAGTATTCTCTGAGCTCTCCTGGTTGACGATGTTTAATACCTAGCCAGGTTCTCACCCTTCACACTCTGAACACGGTTTGCATCATAAATTCACCATTTACTAGTATAGAAACTAAGCTTAACATTACCTAGACTACTCATCTCACCAAATCAACTAACATAATACTATGAAAGGTTGTGGGAACTCTGAAGGACCATTCAAATTTAGTATTGCAGCAACTACATTTCCATAGCTGGAGAAAGGGTAACAACCATTCTGAAATACAGGAATAAGAAATCTATATAATTAAGCAATAAAATGAAATAAGATTCATCTTCAAATTCTGATATTTTAAAATCTTTATTAAAAGGTATTTCTGCTTATTATAAACTATTCAAATGTTAAAGGAATCTATAGTATTGAAAAGTCGCACATCATCTAAGTTAATGAGGCCAGGCACTTGAATGGTGTTAATATCTCTCCCACCCTTATTTTTCCTCCCCCCTTTTCTAAATGTCACTTTCTCCCTTAGTACAGCCAGCAGTTCTACTCACTTTTTAAGTACTCTGCAGTCATAAAGGAAACATCAAATTTTAAAAGTCTCAGTTGGTCTAGGCTCATGTGTCCATGCCTCAGCCAATCACAACCACCAAGGAATTGATAACTTCCATTCAGAATTAATGTCTAAAATGGTGGGAGGAAAGATGTCGTATAGGTGACCACCAGGGAAATTTCTGTGAGCTAGGGCACCACTCCAAATGTTATTTACTGTGATACTGTGTTGTGTACTTGTCAGCACCTTACATGCTTTAACTCTTAAGTTTTTTTAATAATCTCAATAAGTCCTTTGTGTTAGGAAACTCTGGCTCAAAGAAGTTGTGTGCCTGTAGTTACCCAACTAATCACTGGCAGGGTGTCTGGATGCATGAGGGCCTTAAGCTAGAAGAGTAGCTTAGGTGGTAAGAAATAGACAACTATTGATGACTTCTGAGTGAAAGAATCCCTACATTATAAAAATTATTTTTATGGAGAGCCTGAAATACATGGAAATGCATACACTAAACTGCAAAAGCAGCAAAGATAAGTTCAGAAACCTAGAGGATAGAATTAGAAGACCTGATATACATCTAAAAGACTTTCTGGAGGAGAGAAAATAGAGTATGAAGCAAAAACAACATCCATAGAGATGATGTGTGAGAATTTTTCAGACTTGGAAAAGAACATGAGTTATCTGGTCAAAGGAAGATGCTAAGGCTCAAACAGACTAAATTGTTTTCATTGAAACCTGTACATCGTAGTGACATTACAAAATACCAAACACAGCAAGAAAATTTTAAAAGTTACTACTGAGAAAAGTAAATTACCCTAAGAGACCTGACAGTCATCCTGTCAGCAGATTTATCAGCAATAATAGGTTACAGAAGACAATGGAAACTATATCCAAAGTATTAATAGTCCATAACTGAGAAACTAAAATTCTATAGCTAGCTAAACCATCTTTCAAGAGAAAGAACAAAATAAACACATTTATAAACTTTAGAACTTACAGGTGCTCATTAAAAGAAATACTAAAGAAGATACTCCAAAGAGAAAAAAGAAAAAAAGCTGAACCCTAAAGGAATAAGTGAGATTGCAGAAGGATAAGTAAATAATACGTAAGTAAATATCTTGGTTAATATAAGTCAGTAGTATTTTTTAAAATATATTTTTATTGATTTCAGAGAGGAAAGGAGAGGGAAAGATAGAAACATCAATGATAAGAGCGAATCATTGATCGGCTGCCTCTTGCACACTCTCCACTAAGGATTGAGCCCACAAACTGGGCATGTGCCCTGATCAGGAATTAAAACACAACCTCCTGGTTCATTGGTTGATACTCAACCACTGAGCCATGCTGGTCAGGCAAATCAGTAGTATTTCTTAATGTGCCAGTATTCTGGAATTTTAAAACCAAGTGAAATTAAAATATTAGCCATTAAAAATACGTTAGCTGATGGCAGAAGGGAGTTTTGAGTTAGTGAAGAGACTCCTTTTATTAAGTGAGATATTCCTTAAATTTAGATTCTGACAAGTTATTTTATTGGTTAAGGTTTGTTGTTGCGAAGAATAGACTTGAAGCAAGAATTTCTTACATTGATATTCAACAACTCCCAGAGTTATTGGGAGAATTGAAAAAAAACCCAGCTTGGGTTAAGCTTCTAGAAAAAAGTGCCCTAGGCCATGCAACAGAACATGAACTGCTGCTGCTGCCATCAAGTATCAAATGCCAGGAGCTCAACTTTTCTTCATCTACTCCTATTGTCAACATCAATTCCAATTCTGTCAGAAACTTGACCTTGCAACCACTGCTACCTCCACAAACTGGATCTACCTGCACCAGGAAAATGGAAGCTGACTGCATGGTTTGTATCTTCACATTTCCACCGTGCTGCTTAATTAGCAGAGCCTATGTCATAGGCCTGCCTCCCAGCTGCAACGGAGGCAGGAAATTAGAGTTCTGAATTCAATTTTATGCTGGGGAGGTGGAATCTGTAACCAGGGAATTATCCCAACTTTAGAAAGCTCTTTAAAAGATTACTACATTAAAAAGATGAAATATTACCATTTGTGACACCGTGGATGGATCTTGAGAGTATTATGTTAAGTGAAATAAGTCAGACAGAAAAGGACCCAAAACATTGGATTTTACTTATATGGAATATAAAACAAAAAATAACATGAGCAAAACAAAAACAAACTCATAGATACAGACAACAGAATGGTAGTTACCAGAAGGGGAGGGGAGAGGGTGAAGTGGGTCAAATATATGGTAAGGGAAAGAAACCAGACTTTGGATGGTGTGCATGAAATTGAGTACATAGATGTCAAATTATAATGTACACCTGAAATTGATATAATGTTATTAACCAATATCACCTAATAAACTTAATAATTAAAAAAGATCTTGAATATGACAGAGTTCATTATGGATATGCATGTTAAACTTTGAAGGATATTCACCAAAATAAGAGAAATAGAGTGTGTAGCTTCCACAACCACAGAAGGGATGTGGGGGGAAGTGACCTAGAGAAAACTTAGTTACTGGATCAGCAGGCAATAAAGAAGGAATAAAAAAGCAAATTAAAAGTAGGATAAATAGGAAACTCAAATAAGATTGTAGGAAGAAGTACAAGCATATTATTTATTACTAGTGGCCCGGTGCACAGATTCGTGCACATTGAAAGGAAATTAATTAGAAGGTGGCCAACTGGGTGGGACTGGGAGAGAGGGCTGGACACACCCTGGAGCCAACCTCCTGCAGCCCTTCCCAGGCCTGCCGCACCTAGGGCAGCACCGCTGCTGGAAGGACATCTGCGGTCATCGCAGCTCGGCAGTAAACCAGATTTGGGCCAACAGTGCCCCAGCAACAGCATAACCCACGGCTGAAGGTGGAATTGCACAGACCTGCAGAAATTGGGCTCCCTCCTCTCTGGGTTCATTACCTGAGAACTGCCACTGCCAAGTCACTGCAGCTTGGCAGCTCCTGCATTGAGCATCTGCCCCCTGGTGGTCAGTGCCCATCATACCTAACAGACG